AGCTAATATGATAAGGATAAACCTGAAAATTTTGTTTAAAATTTTGTATTGAAAATATAAAATGACAGAAACAAATTGTTGTTGCTATTATGAAGTAGTCAATAGTAGTTTCGTAGAGTTCAACAATAAATTGTTGATTCCTTATTATTTTGGGTTAATTAGGTGAATATTATGTTTTGAATATGTAATTAGATGAGTAACATGCATGAAATAAAAATTAGATGAATAGAAAATTATTGATCCAATTAGACAAAAATGCCATTAATTACATTATAATGGAAAGTGGTTAAAAAAATCAGTAAACCTCAGAAAATTCCTAAAAATCCGTTGTCAATCATAGGGAATTTCGTCAACCGTAAAAATCTCGATCTAACCAGGATTGGCCCTTCTTAATAAAGACGAAGGCACAATAAATAGTTATAGTCAACTATACAAATTTACATAGTTCACTATATTAAACATACAGGTAAATGATAGTTCACTATATCTCAGAAAATCTCTAAAAATCTGTTGTCAATCAAAAGGAATCCGGTCAACCGTGAAAATCTCGATCTTAATTACCGAACCAGGATTGGCCCTTCCTGATAAAGCAAAGGCACAATAAGCAGTTATATATAGTCAACTATACAAATTTACATAGTTCAGTATATCAAACATACAGGTAAATGATAATTCATTATAATATATATAAATTTTTACAATACCTAGTGATAGTCTACTATACAGATATACATGCTAATTTACTATAATAGTTCACTATACTATACAAACAATAATTCATTGGCCAGCCGTTCTGATAAAGAGACAAAGGCACAATGAGTAGTTGTAAGCAACTATACAAATTTACATAGTTTACTATATTAAACATACATGTAAAGGATAGTTCACTATACTTGTACAAATTTATATTTAGTTTACTATAATAATTCACTACTTAGTGTTGAGTATAAACTTACTTGGGATTTTGTACTATTTGGCAGGCTAAACGATGCATCTAATAAAATAAAGAACAAGACTCTTTTTACAATTTTTTCCACACACCTAATCTTTTTCCAATTACAACTTATAAAGAGCAGAACTTAGATGAATCTAGAAACCCTAAATTAGCTATCACAATCGTTGAGCAAGTGTCTCATTTAGAACCACTAGTTACAGAATTTTCACGGCTCGAATTTGTTGTACATGACCACTTCTCCAGCTGGCTTCTCCATCCTGAAGACAGTACGGTTCTGAGTTGTACGGTTTTGTCGATTGTTTGAACATAACACA